GTGTATGAGAGTTGCCAGTGAAAAATAGAGACTGAGTAATTCTCCACCAAGTGTGGAGAAATCTCGCACACCCTCGAAATAAATAAATAAAAAGCCCCAATTCCATTTTAGTAGTAGAAACTTGATACTTGACCTGTACGGCAATGTTCTGAGAAAGCTTCAGGGAAGAGCTATCCTGATCATCATCCTGATCCACTCTGACTCCTTCAACCCCATTTGCTGGAGGTACTACAGGTCGGAAATCCAAGCCTGTGTCCCTGCTACCTTCCTTTAGGATGGAGGCTTGTGGGGATTTCTCTTCAGAACAATTCCCGGAGGCCAGCTGCTTTGTGTGGCAACCTGCCTTAAGAGTGACTGGATGGAGGCTCTCCCGCAGGCGCGTGTCCCCCTCCTCTCCTGCTTTGTTGGCCACGTCCTTCAAATCAGACTGAGACCCACCGCCAGAAAGACCAAGGGCTGTGGCTATCAAGTTTTCTCCTAAAACCGCCCGGTGCGTTGCTGAAGTGTCACCTGCTGATGAACCAGGATTCTGCTCTGGGTGTTCCAAATGGGCATTTCTGTTATTCTCCTTGGTTATCGTTTGGCTACTTACACTCGACAGAGGAGAGTTCTTGTGCTTCTGTGCAGGGTCTTTGGGGCTATCAAAAACATAAAATAAAAAGTTTCTCTCTTCACCCAATCTTAAAGTGTATGAAATGTATGACTTAACACTTTAAACTTAACCACTAGAAAAACAGAAAAACGCTAGACTATAAAAGCCCTCCAAATTAGCAAAATGAAAAGGAACTGTGTGGTGATTAAGAACCAGAGTACTGGGTCTCCAGAACTTTATAGTAAATGACAAAATACAAATGTTTCTAAAGAGCAAAAGTACTTTTGAGGGCCAATTTGAAAAAATGAGAATGAAACAGCCTAATGTTAGAATATTTAATTTAATTACACATATTAACTTAGTTACACATATTTCAACAAGTAAAAAAACTACTTTAGACATTTTGTTTTTAATTCTTTCACATTTTACAAAATCTTTCTTCATTGAAACTCATTATATAAATCTTTGACCAAAACCACTTTTTAAATACAGCAAGTTTTCCAGAGCGTAACACCTTCACTTCAGTTGTCTAAAGTACAAACAGTTTGAATCCAAAATTAAAACTGTCAGTAGAACTTTTATCCCAGACAACAAATGTAACATGTATAACATTGGGATAGTTACATATATATATATATTTTTTTTTTTGCCATTAACTTACTGCTTTCTAAAGAAATATTTAAAACCTATTTGCATCAACATCCAATCTTTACATCTATAAATCTTTCACCAGGAATAATGACTAAATCTATGTTAATTTTTTTTGCCCTTTAAACTAACTCTGTCAAGTAATACCCTTACGTAATGCCCCAAATTAGCACTGACTGGGCTTCAGACCAATGTGTCTTTTCCCCTCAACTGTACTTGTTCGAAATAAAACAATTAAGAGAGCATCCTGTGACAAGAGTATTACTGATTCCTTGCTGGGGTTAAATGAGGTGGAAGGGGTATTTAATTATAAATTTGGACATACACAGTGCTTCGGTGGGAATCCTGAGTACCTTTTACTAGTGGTTTAACTCTGGGCACTTAATTCGCTTCACTTGTAAAAGAGAGGTAATATTACCCACATAATAGGATTGCTGTGAAGACTGTGTAAGATAATGCAATGAAGTAGACTGTAATGGTATAAACACTCGAAAAAACTCACTGCCATTATTACTACTAGTTGTATATGGCTGATTCTATTTATAAAATGAAGACCCAAGTTTATAGTTAGACTAACTTTAACATTTTCCCCATTACCCATTCACTAACCAACCTCCCTTCAATTAAACAAATATTTAGTAAGTACTGTGAAGTCTGACAAGCCAGTTTAAACCCTGATTCTAAGATAGCTTGGCAACCATGGGCAAGTTACTAACCTCTCTGTGTCTCAGTTTCCTCACCTGTAAATGGGAATGATAATATTAGCACCTAACTCCGTGGACTGTTGTAATGGTTAAATGTATGAATATATACAAAGCTGTTAGTACAACATTATGTATTGTATTAAGGCGTAGATACTCTAGAAAAAGAGTTGAAGTAGAATATATAATCTCAATTTAGTACAGCATTGTATATAACAATGTGTTCACCACTGTAAAATGCAGGTTTGGACAATTATAATTCCTACCCTCAAGAGTTTAGGTAGAAAGTATCCAGTAAATCATAATATCAAAGATATATTTATTTATCTGTGGATATAGATATATAAATACACAAACATGTGTAGATGCATCTATATACATATATCTATATAATATAGTACAATACATATACACACAAACACACAGAGGTATGATACATAAACATGTAATTAAATGAACATAAGTCCATGTAGGATAGCGTGGGGAAATATTTGCATTTTGGGATGTCTGACCTCCTGTTTTCTCATCTATTTATCCAACAAACATTCAGCATGCCTGCTAAGTGTCAGGGCTGTTTTGGATGCCAGAAATACAACTACAGATCAGATGGTCCCTACCTTTAAAGCTTTATCTAGTGCAGTGCCACTAGAGCCCCAAACAGGAAGGACCAGCTACCCTTCCATTAACCCATCTCGAAAGCCCTTTACCCACATGAAATATACCCAATCAAGAATTCACACATTACCTTAGACCATCTGGGAGACTGTCATCTGATTTGGAAGCACATAAACTAGAAGTGGATTCCGGAGGATTGGGGGCATTAGCCACAACACCAGCTACCTCAGATGCTGCCATCATGCTCTGTACATTCAGAAAGAAATTGCAGGTTACAGGTTTCAAATTTTTTTAACAAATGTATCTTGCCCCCCTCAGCATGTCCTTACAACAGAGTTGTTGCAGGAAAGAAACAGAGAAAAAGTTGGGCTCCAGAAGAAAATACTTGAGCATCCTTTAGAAGGGTATTAGTAAGAGGCATTGCATGCAATAGGTCCCAGTACATGAAATCCTAGGAGTCACCACAAATAGATAAACATGCAGAAGTAGGTACAAAAGTTTTGGTGTCCACTTTTGGCAGAAATGCAGTCATTTAAAACAGACTATAGTCTGTAAGAGTCTTCCAAATGGTTAACAGACCTAGTCTACTATAAAGCTTGTATGGTGGGGCATATCAGTAATATGTTGTTTCATGTTACATTAAAAGCAATCTCTCCATTAATTTAAGTCAAGTTTTTTGGAGGTGTTTGCATGTGAGAAAAAGCAATACTCTATTGAACCATCCCAGTTATCTTTTCCTCCATCACAGGGTTCCCCACAAATGGGAAAAGTTTGATAAACCACCAAGTGAGGTAAGTAGACTTTTCAGAGTCACTACAGGGGCGCAAGAGTATGAAAATAAGCTGAAAAACAGGGTAACTCAAGGAAGGGGAGCAAGACAATACTTTTCTTAGATCAAAGAATCATCCTTTATATTGCAGGAAAAAATTCAAGGCCCTCTATGGTGCAGAGATAAAGGGGGCAAAGGATAGTTTGGGCAGTGGTGGGGCAGTAACAGTGAATTCACTTTAAATTCATTTTTATTTTAACAGCATCACAGTTCAACCCCAGACCTTGAAGCACACATAGCACAGGCATAGAGACCAGGCTATGTCAACACTCCAGTCACAGGCCAAAGACCCTCTGTGCCTCAGTTTCCCCTACTACACAAAGCTGGTGAGAAAACGGCCCCCAATCGTCATTCCTGCTGCCTCAGGTGCACACTTCCTGGCCCAAATGAGCCCCGGCTCGGGGGTCCTGGCGCCCAGTAAAGGACACCCCAGGGTGCGAGTCACGCAACTCCGCGGCTGCACTGCCCAAGGTGGAGCAGGACAGGTACATCTGGCCGGAGGCTGCAGTGTGGGGTGCAGAGTGGGCTACACCCCGGGATCCCCGCGCCGCAGGCCGGCGGCGACCACCAGCCAGGTGCCCAGAGCGACGGGTCCTCGGGGGAGCAGGGGCGACAGTGGCCAAGGGGACAATGGGGGGAAGCAGCGCGGGGTGTCCGCGGCCACCCTCCACAGGGGGTGTCTCCACGGACCGCTTCCTGGGCCGGAGCCCTGCACCCCGCCGCCCCCGCCCCCCGCCCGCGGACAGCCCCGGGGCCACCCCTAGGCCGGGACCCCCGCCCCGTCCTCGCAGCACCCTCCACGCCCCCAACCTCACCCCCTCCCCCGCCCTCGCCCCCGCCCCTCGCGCCGCAGCCCCCTCCCCGCGCGCCGCCCCGCACACACCTCCCGCGCCGCGCCCCGGGAGGGAAGTGGGGGGAGGGACGGGACGCACCTGAGCGGGAGGAGCGGGGGGAGGGGGCGGCCGGGCCTCGGGGGGGAGGGGTCGAGCGCCTGCCCGCGCGCGACACCTCCCACTTCCGGCGGCGCGAGCGGAGGGGGCGGGGCTCGGCCGGGAGAGGAGAGGCCGCGGGTGGCGCCGCGCCGCCCCCGACGGCGCCCTCTGGCGGCGAGAGCCGGCATCGTCGCGCGGGCGCCGGCGCGGCCGCGGCCCCCTGAGATACACGTGGGCTCTCCGGGGCGCCCGGAGGAACCGCGACGCGAGCGCGAGAAGGAGGAAAGCCCGAGGGAAGGAAGGAAGGAGCCCCCCGGGAGGGGAGCACGGACTGTCGGGGCCGTGGCTGGCCGCGGGCAAGGAGGAGCGAGGGGGTTTTAAAGATCGTAACCGAGAGGCCCCTTTCAGAGGACGCCATGCAGGAGGAGACGGTCCCGGCGGGGAGGACCCCTCTGGAAGATGCCGAGCACGCGGGGCCGCGGGGCCGCGGGGGGAGCCCGCCGCCGCCGCACGCCCCTCTCCGGCCCGGGAGCCCCGGGAGGCGGCCCCCTGGCGCCGCGGCTGCGGGCCGGGCGGCCCGGCCGAGGGCGCGCGCTGATTGGCTGCGCCGCCGGGCGGAAGTGACGCGCCTGTCACCGGCTCCTGGGGCTCCCGGGAAGCCGCGAGTTTCCGCAGGGGGCGGCGGCAGCAGCTGCGGCCCGGCTGGTGAGTTGGGAAGTCGGCGGGGACGGGGCTTTGGAAGTCGGGGTGGCCTGAAACGGGGGGGAGCCGGTGTCTGAGGATGAGGAAGCTGCACAGAGGGCGCCTCCAGCCCGGGCCCGGGGAGCCCAGGGACCCCGAGCACCGGTTCTGAGAGTCCGGGGCGGTGTGGGTCCCTGCAGGGAGAGGGGCGCGTTGCATGCGGCTGTTTGACCCGAGAGGGGGAAATCGAGGACACCGACCCCTGTAGGCAGCCTGGGTTGTAGGAACAGGGTGCAGAGGCTGCGAGGGGGACAGGCTCTTAGGGAGCAGAATCTCCAGAGCCTGGACTGCCCATCTGATTCCTCCTTCCTTGGCACCTAAAAATGCCTGCCAGTTGGGATGAGATGGAAATCTGCTCTCTGAGGGCATTTGAAGTTCCTGTCCCCAATCCTGGGAGGTTGGGGTGGGAGTCTGGTGCTGTTCTTGCCAGGGGGGGAAGGAGGAAGCGGTGATCTGGTTTCACTCCTCTTCTGGAAATCCCTGGGTTCTACTGAGAGGGAAGAAGCCTGCTTAGGTGCTTCACTATCTGGCAATCTTACAAGATTTTGTTTTAGTTAGAAAGGTGTGCAGACTGGCAAAGATCGAGGGTCAGAGTGGGACCATTGAGGATGCTGGAGGGTAGGAGGAATTTGAGAGAGAATATGCCTGGGAATATGCCTGAGAACCTAAGAGAAAAAGAAAGGAGGAGGTGTGGAATGCATTTTAGAAGGAAATGTTAGACGGAGTAAAGTTCCCTTCTTCCTTTCCAAAGAGACGTGGGTCAAATACCCATTTTCTGTAATGTTTTGAGTCAAATCCAATTGGATATGTGTGGGGGGATTACTTTAGAAGCAGGTGCCCCTGGAGGAACCCAGCCACCAATGAACATGCAGTATATACATGTTCTGCCTCCCGTTCACCTGTCCCTGTGCCCATGGCTGCCTGCTATTTCTAACATGGCACTTCTGTCAAATCATGGGTGGCAGTCCCAAATTTGGAATCTGATTCCTCATGTGCAAGCCACCCAGCTGAGCCAATGCTAAGGCACCCTCTGCTGCTGAAGTCAGTCATTTCTTCCCTTCCACTGGCCCTCGTGTCCTTGAGACCTGTTCCCTTTCTCTTGCATTCTGGGACTTTCCCTGTTTCCCCTGTCTTCTGTCTGCTCTTGCTTCCCCCTGGCAGCCTGCAGCTATACACAAACCCAGAAGTTAGCTCCCACTGGACTTCTCTTTTCTCAAGAGAAGTCTTGGGTCACAGTTGAAGCCCCCTTCCAGGTGTCTCAGAGGAAAAGAAAGGAGCGTGGTATCAGTGTCAGGACAAGTAGGGTTTCTGGGTTTTGTCCTGATTTGACCTTTCTGTGCCAGTCTGTGATCTATTTGAGGTCCTTGGAAATGATACTTGATCGTTGGCTACTGTCTTTGGTCCCAGGCCCTGGGGTTCATGGTTAGCCTTGGCTTGTTCCGCTGGGCTTAGGAGGACACCATTTCTTCTCTCCTCGGAGCCCACAGGTCTGCCGTCAGTGCTCAGAGTCAACCCTGCTGACAGTGCAAGTGATGCCTTTTCTCCACTGGCACAAAATGAGTGTGAGGTGGTTAGCCAGACCAGGAGCTCAACCTCACGGCGAGTCCAGGTGGGAATGGGGTCCCCACAGGGGGGAGAGAGCCCTAAGGACCCCTGAACTGAGAAGTCAACTTGGGAAAGATTTGTGTACCCTCTCAACTAAGGGATGGATGGTTTCTCCTATAGAACAGTCGTAATTCTGCCAGTAGTTTGCGGGAGTGATGAAACTTTAAAGCTTTTCAGTAGAAATGGCCAGAAAGAGCAGCCTGGTACCTTAGCCACTGGACATTCTATTGAGAGGGGGAATGGCCCAGCACGCTGTGGAGCTGTCCACTGGGGTTAGTGCTGGTCCACACTGTCTAGGGGCTTATCCTTGTCAGTCAGTGATAAAAGTGAATTAAAAGAGAGGCTCAAATGTTTAATAATTTAAAAGGAATGGTTTGGGTTTTCCAGGTGCAATACACCCATGGCTCAGTAGCCTCTGATTCCCACAGTTTGCAGCTCTTTTATCTCTGATGTCTTTTTTCCTTTGTCTGCAGCCTGCTGCTCTGATGCCGAGGGGGAGGCAAAAAGTGCCACACTCGGATGCCCCCCTGGGCCTGCCCATCTGCCTCTGGCTGGAGTTCTTACTGGTTCCCTGGGTCATGGGCTTGGCAGGGACTGGTGGGCCTGGGGACCAAGGGCCAGGGGGGCTAAGCTGGGCTGTACATCTGGACAGCCCAGAAAGCGAGGGGCAGGAAGAGACTCTGGAGCAGCAAGCAGATGCCTTGGCCCAGGCAGTAGGGCTGGTGAACTCCGGACGCATCGGGGAGCTCCAGGGACACTACCTCTTCATCCAGCCTGCTGGGCATAGGAAGGACCAGCAGGTGGAGGCCATCCGGAAGCAGGCAGAGGCTGTGTTTACCCGGCACGAAGCTGTGCGCTGGCACTCGGAGCAGAGGCTGCTGAAGCGGACCAAGCGCAGCCTCCACTTTAACGACCCTAAGTACCCGCAACAGTGGCACCTGGTGAGTCCAGGCTGCAATCTGAGCTTCAGAGGGAGACGTTTGGGATATCCTGTTCTTAGTGGGCTTTTCACTGTTTCATCTTCAGTGACCCCTATCTGTGCACAAGGAGATATTTCTATGGGTTCCAGCTTCCCAGTGCTCACTTCTAGAGAGCCAGGGGGCTGCAGTGTTTAGGACGTGGATGCCTGGACTCCAGTCCAGCTCTGCTGCTTATACTACCACGTGCCCTTGGGCAACCTGCTTGACCACTCTGTGCCTCAGTTTTCCTATCTGTAAGATGAGACTCTAATAGTACCTACCTTGTAGAGTTATGGTTAGGAAAAATGAGTTAATATGTCTGAAGTACTTAGAACAGTGCCCAGTGTATGATAAACTCTTTGTTATGTTAACTATATTAAAAAGCAAAATTCACAAATTTAAATAGCTGATTGACTAGATGAAATGGGCAGCATCCTCATCTACCTATTGCAAGGACTTCCATAAAATGGAGAGTATTTAGGGACAGAGAGTGAGACAAGGTATTAACAAAAGAAAAGATAATTTCAGGGAAGGGGGTTACTTTATGCACATGACCTCACTGGTGCTGATTAAAAAATTCTAGATTGATGGGTTTAGAATGACACTTTTAGAAGAGGTTGAAATTGCCATGGAAGTTAAGGTGGGAGCTCCAGGATGAAGTTCTCCATTTTGGAACCTTTTTGCTGTTTGCTCTCCATTTTGGAATTGTTTTCTCTATTTATAAATGTTATTACAAAACATTAATGCAGGTCCTCCCTGGCTCTGCAGGGGGTTAAGTCTCAGCACTGTGAAGCTACGAATAGCCACTGCAGCACAAATTCAAGCCCTGGCCAGGGAGCTAACCCACATGTCACAGCAGACCTCTCCTGTCTCCCCATCTATTTCCCTCAATGGTGTATTTCAGTGGATCCCCCTATTCTGCTCCCCACTCCGTCTCTGGTGAATCCTCCCACCACCCCAGCCACACCACCTTGTATGCATAAATAAATAAATCTTTTAAAAAAAGGACCATTAATACAGCATGCATATATAGATACATATATATATATGTATATATATATATACACACATACACACACACACATTATACATGGCACAGCAATTATCCATCCCTTTGCCCTAGTCACCATGATCCATTATCAACATGAATGATACCAAACCTTCCTAGAGACATAGGCAGGGACAAGACTCACTTGTGCCCCCTGACTCTGTCCTCACCTGCACTTCTTGGTCTACAACCGCAGTCTGGCTCTTCAACAGTGGCCAAGAGGGAGAGGGGCTGCCAGCTCTAACCTTGTCTCTCTGGAGGTTGTGCCTTGTATCTCTGGATTCCCCAGGCTTGACAACAGTTCCTCACCCTGTCTCTCCTGCAGAATAACAGACGGAGTCCTGGCAGGGACATCAACGTGACAGGTGTATGGGAGCGCAATGTTACTGGACGAGGTGTGACTGTGGTGGTGGTGGATGACGGTGTGGAGCACACCATCCAGGACATCGCCCCCAACTATGTGAGTGGCCCTGGACTGACCCTCCTACCCCCATATCTTACCTCCTTTTTTGGTATGGCCTTAGGCTTGATCCCTTTGGGGTCTATTGGGTCAATCCCCAGTCTGGAGGTCATTGGGTCAATCCCCGGGCACCTGGAAGGTACCCAGCCTGTCATCCTTTTCCCCTAGTCAGCATTCCAGGCTGGCAGTTCAAGTACAGGGAGTGGCCCCCATCTGGCAAGAGAGAGGATCTTCCTGGTTCCAGGCCTACTTTCTGGTTCCAGCCTTTGCTCTCTGCCCTCAGGAGTATGAAGTGATTCCTGTAGGCAACTCCCCTCCCCCCACAGGTTTTAGTACTTTCCTCTTTTCAAAGCCTGGCCTTTAAGTAGCCCTAAATCTCTCTATCCCCAGTTTTTCAAGCCGTGGAGCAATTTCCATGTCTAAAATGGACAAGAAAGAAGTTGCTGGGAGCTGAGGCACTTCTGAGCTTTGCCCATAGCGCCACCCCCACCCCCACCCACCCCCACCCCCCGCCGGTCATATCTAGTAGCCCATACAGGGAAAGGTAGATCTGCCACCCTGGCCAGAGACCTAAATGTCCAGTTCCCGCTCTCCCTGGACCCTAAGACCTGAACCCTTTGAACCATGAGTGACCATGTGGTGCCTTCCCCAATGTTTCAGTGCCCTGAGGGCAGCTATGACCTCAACTCGAATGACCCGGACCCTATGCCCCACCCGGACGTGGAGAATGGCAATCACCACGGGACACGCTGCGCGGGAGAGATCGCTGCTGTGCCCAACAACAGCTTCTGTGCTGTGGGAGTGGCGTTCGGGAGCCGCATCGCAGGTGCCCTACCATCTGTCCCTCTCCCCCCACCCCTGACCTCTCAGGCAGCTCAGCGCCCAGAGTAGCTTCCGGTCAGTATCTATAGTGCAAGTTACATCGTCGACGGTTCCCAGTGTAGTGGTTTGCAAACATGTTTTTATCAACAGTGCCCACCATATAAAACAGATGAAAGTAGAGATGCTCTCAGTGTGGAGTGAGTGACCCAACTTGTAATGACGACGCCTTTTACATTTCTGTTATGCTTGTGTTTTCATCAAGCATCGAGTGCCTTCCCATCTGCCCTTCCACCAGTCCCCATTATGTCAGTGGTGGTGCCTCCCCCGGCTCCTAGCACTCCAGCTCCCAGGCCTTCTGATGGTCTGACAGTTGCCATCTGTTCTCCATCCTTTCAAGACTCCTAAGCAGCCCTGCCCCTGCCCTAGGTTTGTTTTATTGTTCCTTTGCTTATCGGCCTGGTGAAGGGCATGAATAGGGACATTCTCCCCATGATTCTCTGTAAGTCCTTAGAGCCTTTATGCTGAATAGATTGGCTGTAATTCCTCTTACCCTCCAGCAGAGGGCAGTCGCCCTCTCTATGAGGCTAGAGAGGGAGCCAGAAACTTTCAGGGCCTAAGTCCCTTCTGCAAGCCCCCTTTGTCCCTATGTGGTCATCAGGATGGGACCCTCTCTGTTTTGGAGGACAAAATTGGGCATCTACGGTACTAGTAGTGATAATGAGTACCTTTTGTTGACACCTTCTGTGGGTCAAGCACTGTGCAGGTGTTCTAGAGATGCAGATAAGAAGGACCTTGGCTTCCTACATTCTAGCCTATGCCTCTTCCCACCAGACCCTGTGAGCCTGAGAGTCAGATATTTAGCACATTTCTAGATAGGTATGTCCACGTGGTATATAAATTCAAAGGGTGCAAGAAAACTTAGAGAGAAAAATGAGTCCTCATGAGGCTCCCCACCACCCAGTTCCCCATCTGGGGGACCAGCATTATTTAGGAGCTGGTATGACTTTACTGTCTAGGTATCCGGGTGCTGGACGGACCCCTCACCGACAGCATGGAGGCTGTGGCCTTCAATAAGCACTATCAGATCAATGACATCTACAGCTGCAGGTGAGTAGACCCCGGGTAAGGGGGAGGGACAGAGGTGGGAGAATCTGGGCTGAATCTTCCACTGAAGGAACAGAAAAATGGGCTCATTCGGGCACATCCAGGCAGGGCACTCCTCACTGGGGTGAGGCCCCGGGGCATTGCCCTCATTTCTCCTGACCCCCAGTCACTGGGTGCTCAGCCTTAAGCTCAGGTCACCCAGTAATCAGTTTGCCTTGTGAGGAGTCTCCATCCTGCCCTCTGCTTATTTGTTTAATAAACTCATAAGGCCTCTGGGAGAAAGGAGGCTTTCCTCTCTAACCATAGCTAAGTTGAACACTCAGTGCCAACCCCTGCATCCTACACATGTAAATACACCTATGGCTTCAGGCTTCATGGCTATCAGAGGTGGGGGTGGGTATATAAAGAAACTGCCCTCATGGCATTGATGGTACCTGTTCTTCCCCTTATCTATACTCCCCCAAATCCATAATATTGTTATGCATGGTGTTTGCTTTTTCTTAGAGAAAGAATAGAGAACTCAGCCTAAGACCCAAGACCCCACACAGATCGAGTACTTATGGGAGCTCGTGGGTCCTCTGCCATCAGCCTAGTATCAGATCCCTAGATTAGGAGAGAGATGGCCCCCACCCCTCTCTACCACCTTGTCTGGTCTCCTGCTCCCTGGGACCTGAGAAAGGATCTGAGGGGCGAGTTAAAGTAGTCCTAGCCTGGAAATATTTCCGAGGAAGAGGCGCCTTAGCCCACAGTTCTGTTTTCCACTTCGGGGTGAGGTCTGGACCTTGGGACCCTCTAGCCTTCAATCATGGGACCCTCTGGGGTAGAGTAAGAGCCAAGGCAGAGAGGTGGCCAGCTGAGACCAGGAGGCTGGGCGGGGAGGAGAGCAGCACGGGGATAACAGGCAGCCACATCCTGGCTCCAGCTCTTCCATCTGGGTCTTTCTCAACAGCTGGGGACCAGATGATGATGGAAAGACAGTGGATGGCCCCCATCAGCTTGGAAAGGTAACTGAAGACTTAATTTCGTTCTATAAGAACTACTACAAATTGATCCCTCTGACTCCCCAACCCTATTGGCAGTGCCAGCCCTATGCCAGCTCACCCCGCCGGCTCACCTGGAGGTGGTGACTTGTAGGGGATGAAATGGAACAATACTTTGAGATTGTTTTCCTTTGATTTTCATGTTCAGCTTCCCATTCTTAGCCCCGCCAGTGTGATAAGCAGAGCACAGCTTTCAAGCAGTCTCTCAGCTAACAGCTTCTTTCCTTCTTGTGTCCATATTTAAATCTCTTCTGTCCATGCCCAGTGCCCTTTGAGTTTTTACCCTTTCCTTCTGGAGGGGAAGAGAGGACAATTGATGTAGAAGGTAGAGGTCTTTCTAGGAGTTTCAGCTGATCCCCAGATGTTTTTCTCCTCAGGCTGCCTTGCAACATGGGGTAATCGCCGGCCGCCAGGGCTTTGGAAGCATCTTCGTGGTCGCCAGTGGCAACGGAGGCCAGCACAACGACAACTGCAACTATGACGGCTACGCCAACTCCATCTACACCGTCACCATAGGTAGCGCCTGCTGGTTCTGTGTGTGTGCCTTAGTGGTGAGGGGACTGGGTGTCTGGGGTGCCCCATCTTCCATGTGTCTCTCTGCACATGTGAGCACATGTGTTTCTTCAGGAGGGATGAGCTCCGCTCTCCAGAGATTACAGGGCTTCCTCAGATCCCAGCATGCCATGGGAATTCACCCCAACCTCTGGACATTGCCCACCCCACCTCTACCTCCACCACCACTGCTTAGGCCTCTGCCCAGCCTCTCTTCCCATGGGCCGCTTGTCTCCTGCTCGAAGCCTTCCTGATCCCCGCCTCCCCTAGGGCTGGGACCTGTGCTCCAGTCCACAACATTTGCCAGCCAGTTGCACATATTAGCAACCCACCTTCCTCCCGGAGATGAGATCAGGACCAGCCTCCTCCATCTGGCCCCCATGGTCGCAGAGCGTGACTTACTAACTCTTACATGTGGAGAACGATGACTGTGTGAAGAGCACATGAGTCGGTGTGGCAGGGGAGACGATGCTCAGGCCATCCCCTCATCTCGGCTCCCCTTTCCCCTGCTCCGTCCCCAGGTGCTGTGGATGAGGAGGGGCGGATGCCTTTCTATGCAGAGGAGTGCGCCTCCATGCTGGCGGTCACCTTCAGTGGGGGGGACAAGATGCTCCGGAGCATTGTAAGTGCTGCCCAAGCCCCTCCCGGCCTTTCCCCACAGGACTTCTCTCGGGCATCACAACTGGGTTTCTGTTTGTACCCTGTCTCCTGTCCTGCCCGTCAGCCTCCTCTTCCCTAACTGAGCTGGACCGCGTAAGGTCTGCCCCTGCTGGAAGACCAGAACTGGGGACACCAATTAAATTTGTGTCCATAGTTTTTGCCTTAAAATTTTTAGCTTGCCCATATTCTCATTGTTATAGGAACTACTAAGCATCCCATTGATTAAATGACTTCTTTGAAACTGTCTTCCTTTGGTAGAACTTGAGCTTTGGCTACGTTTTGGCTTTAAAAAAGTCATCCCTCCATTGCTCTTCAGCCCTTGTGTAAACCCCTTGAGTTCTGGTCATACTGCTCCTCAGAAGTGAAGCAGGTGTGTGCTTTTATGGGGTGGGTAAGGAAAGGAGTCAGGAAAATGTCTGCCTGAGAGACACCTCTTTCCTTGGAGCTGGAATTGGAGCCATAGCTGACCAGATTGGAGCGAGGGAGTGAGCTTTTCTAGCTCTGGGAGTCTATCAAAGAATTTAGGGTCGAGTGCCTGCACCCACTGGCTTAGCTCCATCCCGGCAGGTTCAAGCCAGGACTGTGGACCATCATCATCATCCCTCAGAGAACCGCCTGCTGCTCGTGACCAGTAATGTGGGGACAAGAGGCTCCAGATTGGGGGGGGGTGAGCCAGGTGATGTCAGAGTTCACATTTCTCCAGTGGCCCTGATGGGTCCAAGAGGGCTCTAGAGTCATTGGCAATTAGGCTTCTTGTCTTCCTGTGGGGTCAGATTCATTTTCCAAAACTGAAATTTTGTTTTGCCAATAACTGACTTCTTGTCAACGCAGTGTTCCAAGGCTCTGTGCCAGCTAACCCCAACCTAACCCTGCACCCCAGGGAGAAGAAAAAGAGGGACTGGACTAAAGGAAAAAGGCAAGAGAGGCTTTGCTCAGCAGGCTGGGGTATGGCACAGAAGGTACCCCACCCCAGGTCAGGTTGTTGAGGAGGAAGAGTAGGAACGTACTATGCTCTCCAGGCCCAGGCAGAACTCAGCAGGAACCCGCTCCCCTCACCCAGCCCAGCCCTGGGAAGGCTCCCCAGCATAATCGTCAAGGTTGCCCTGTGGTGCTGGCTTTTCTCCTCACTCCACTCCTTAACGCCGCCCCACCTTCCATCTGAAGTGTAAGTGGCCCAGAAAGAGTTTGCTTAGCCAAGGTCCCATTTTTGGGATGCCCTTGCCTTGGAAGCCCCTTGGACAGGCAGCTCAGTGGATCAGACTTCCTGTGCGCAGGGCATGCTGGTGATACTGCCCACCCCTTGGCGACCTGGGGCAGCTCCCTGTCTTAGCAGTGGCTGCCCGGGGCTCCTGCCTCCCCAGGCAAGTTCACAGGCCTCCCAGCTGAGTACTAGACTGTCCCTGTGAGGCTGTTTCCTTAACAGGAAGAAAGCAATCTGCTCCCTGGCACAGGCCAGGCTGCCCTCTCATTGAGGCTACAACCCCCTTTCTTCTGGGAGTGCAGAGTGTCCGAGTGACAGTTATATCAGCTGCTATAACAGCTGGGAGAGCTGGGAGGGAGGCTGTGAGAACAATGAAGAAAGGCAGTTCTTGGCAGAAATTAGCACCTTGGTGTCCGACCCAGACAGAAGCGAGGAAAAAACAATTCTGTGATCTTAACATTGGCACCATGTGCTAAGGATCCAAAAAGTCACATCGGAGAGAAGATTTAGGCAGGGCCCTCAGCTAATGTGGCTCCAGAGGATGCCAGACAGACTCTATCCCCCCTACTAGGTGACTCTCACCTCCCGCCTCAGAACCACAGGTAGAAAAGGGGGACTTTTGGAAACCACACTGAGGTGATGGCCCAGAACAAGGAGGCAGTTTGTCCTGCTGATGCCAAAGGCCAGGCCAGGCCAGGCAGGCAGTGTAGACACTGAGCCGGTGGCAAGCCATGGGTTGGACAAGCAGCTGGTTCCCCTTTCCTGGGAACACACTCCCTTGTTCTCACTGATGTCTCTCCAGCCCCTGGCGCCGAGCTGCCAAGTTGGACTTCCTTGAATGGTGCCGTCACTGTTGTCCCAGTTCCAGCCAGGGGCCCGGAGCTCCTGACCACTGCCTCTGGGTGCGGGGGCTGGAAGGTTGGAGCGGGGCCTGGGGTGGAGGACTGGGGAATGGTTATCGGAGGATCAGAGTCGGGATCCTGTCCTCTGCAGTCAGGCCTCTCACCATCTCCTTCCCCCATTGCCAGACCCTCATAAGTAACTCTTTAATGGTTATTATTCTGTTGTCAGCACTCCAGGGACTGTCTTGTGAAGCCTAGAAGGATTCAGGATCCCCTCTGTCCTGACCTGTCTGTGGACCTCCCTCTGGTCAAAGATTCAACTCTCACAGGAAGGCCCACCTGAGAACCTGGGTCTGAGGCTGCTCCCCTCCCCCCACTCCACAGTATCCAACCCTGCCCTCCATTCCACCTCCCAGGTGACCACTGACTGGGACCTTCAGAAGGGCACAGGCTGCACTGAGGGCCACACGGGGACCTCAGCAGCTGCCCCCCTGGCGGCTGGCATGATAGCCCTCATGCTGCAGGTGCGGCCCTGCCTCACATGGCGTGACGTCCAGAACATCATTGTCTTCACGGCCACCCAGGTGAGGAGGACTCTGGCTGGGCCTTCACTCTGGAGCCCATGATCCCCTCTGTTCCCGCTCTAGAAGCAAGCTGTTCTAGTGGTGACATCATGGGGCTTTGCCCTTTTGTCCCAGCTTCCCTGGGGAGCCCATTCCTACTGCCCTTCGTGGGAGTCTGGGCTGGATTGGGCTGGGTGAGCAGGAAAAACAGCAAGGGTGTTGGGATGACAGTGGAAAGGCAAGAAGCTAGCCAGGACTTCTGTCCTTTCAGTATGAGGATCGCCGCGCAGACTGGGTCACCAACGAGGCCGGCTTCAGCCACAGCCACCAGCATGGATTCGGCCTGCTCAACGCTTGGAGACTCGTGAATGCCGCCAAGGTGACCGGCACTGGCAGGGCAGCGAGTCCTGTAGGGAGAAACCAAGGGAGGGAACTAAATCCCTAAAACATTGCCTGGCACCTCGCCAGTGCTTAATAAGTGGTCACTCGTTCATTACAGTTATTTAACCGTTTCATTAATTTTACCCTTATCCGGGCTGAATGAAGACACAGGCTCAACGCTATAATTGAAGT